GAGACCCCATCTCTACAAGAAAATAGAAAAATTAGCCAGGCATGGTGGCATGTACCTGTAGTCCCAGCCACTTAGGAGACTGAGGCAGAAGAATTGCTTGAGCCCAGGAGTTTGAAGTTGCAGTAAGCTATATGATGCCACTGCACTCTAGCCTGGGTGACAGAGAGAAACTCTGCCTTTAAAAAAAAAAAGTATATTGCTATAATGAAAATTGCCTGTGCAGCTTTGCCTTCAGATAGAAAGAGGAGCACATACCGTATTCTAGTATCTAACAATTCCTTAATCATTGCCACAACTTCGTCATCTTCTTCAGATCCTAGAAATAATTACGTATAAAAAATATCAATAGTAGAAATTTTGTATCTATGCAAATATTAAAACAGGATGGTTTTATCTTCATGGCTCAATAAAAACATAAAATCATAAAACACGTAACTTGGTATGGTGATGTGTTTGGGGGAAATGGAAGGAGAATCATACATTTGATTCCCTGAAGAAAAATTAAGAAATACTGATCAACTCAACATTTAGTGATGAAGGTAAGCATACTGAAATACCTTGATCTACTAATCATGTTAGGGTCTGAAATTTTTAGCCAATAAATTTGTAAACTTTCATTGTTCTCAAGGATTGAAAAGTGGCAGAGAAAAGAGACTGAATTTTGATGGCAACTTTGAGACAAAAAAGCACACCTACTTTATAAGTTAAGTTACATCTTTAGTTTCTCATTTTCGTGGTTTTCAAGACAACAATATTAAAGATAGATGTAAGCCTTCTGAGAATTTCTCAAATGTTCTACAAATCTTCTGCGTAAAAAGTTAGTTTTTCATTTTGTTTCATTTTTATTTTGCTTTTTTTGTTATTATTTTTTGTAAGGTTATATATTTATCTTCACTAACGCTTTTCTATGAGTTTGGGTTTTTTTGAGAAATTTGTTTGCCTTTGGGAAAATTTAAAATGCAGAAATTTCAAATTACACTACAACAAACACTAGATTCTGGCAACCCCATAAATAACAATATTAATATCAAATTATATTAACTTTGAGTCTTTTTAACTAAAAGAAATAAAACATAAAAAAGCTAAAATTCTCTTAGATCAGCAAACCTAAGTTCCATTCCCCC